GCTGATTATTATCTGTCATTACAGGAAGTACATTCCATCGCTGAAAACTGAAATTCGGCGTAGTATACTTTTCTGAAAGCATGTGTAGTAGTACTGTATGCTTTGGTTCAGATCTCAATAGCCCAAGTATAGATATTTTGACCAGACACGCACTAGTGTAAACAAAAGTGATTCTTAGTGATTTCTTCTATTACAGAATGCTACAAAACTTTAGATTTCAAACTCTTATTATCTGTTCTAAACATGAATCATTTTCAGGAGGCAAACAATCTATATCTTTTCATTTGTCAGCATATTTTAATTTATAGCTACAGGTGTATATATGTTTTCACTACTAGGAACTTCTATGTTTGCTAATTATTGTTCTTTATCCAATAATTAAATACTATACATAATTCTCATGTCTCACTATTCCATGGCCCAACAGCAGACATCAGACATGTTGATTTGTAGGAAAGTTTGTATCCAAAATATTTGACAATGTTAAGTACAAATCCTCAAGGTGAGGGCTTTCATATGTAATGAATCTATCTATGTTGAAATTGGTTTTCCCTGTAGCTGTCCTTGCATGATTGTTCTTAACAATTATTTGTCTCCATGGAGATTTCTTAGCAGTAGCAATATCTGCATGTGTAGTTGTGACCGCATCAAATGTACTGAATTTTCAGTATTGGCTAGAGCAAATGTTTGAACTTTATTATTCTAGTTGTATTTACTTGCTGTGATTTTGTGAAACCAGTGTCAAAATGTTTAGTGTGAATTGGTGTACTTCCTGGAAATGCTTAAATATATGTCCGAGTTGAGAAAAGATTGTTGTTACTTAATTTGAATTATATATATATGTGGTCAGATTTGAATTTGAATTATTTTTTTACTGGAAAATTCACTGTAGGGGCGGTTCTTAATTGAACCGCCCTTATAAATACACACAGCAGGGAAGGCTGGTGGTACAGCCGCCCTTACAGAAGTCCACTACAGGGGCGGCTAATATTACCGGCCACCCCTACAGAGGACACTGTAGGGGCGGCTGAAAACACCAGCCGCCCCTACAGAGGGCACTGCAGGGGCGGTCAGGAAACCGCCCCTACAGAGGCACCCTCTGTAGGAACACCGTAGGAAGGGCGGCTGGCGCAGCCGCCCCTACAGAGGCTCTAGAGCCGCCCCTACAGTTAAATTCTGTAGTAGTGAGAGTCAATACACGTGTGCAGAGAAAAGTGGAGGTGTTGGCTTGCAGAGAGGTAGTTCAATACTTGCATTGAGACATATTGCAATATAATGGTGGGCATGTTGTTGAGAAGAGAAAGCTAAAGGTCATACTTAAATTTTGTTATATGAGTAGTAGCCTTGGAAGTTGTAGATATGCTGCAAGAGTGGAAGGTTATCTATACGAAGAGAGTGGAATTGTGTAGCACATGAGCTCGCACAACTAGTGTTGACACTAAAAAATGTTCCAAGAGGATTTTAGGCACTACCAGCAAGTTATAAATATCTTGGACATGTTGGAGGTCAAAAAAACGCAACAAAACATTGAAGAAATCACAGGGAGAAGAAGGCGATCCGCTCCAGTCGGCTTAGCCGACCCAGCAAGCCTCTCGTCGGCTTAGCCGACTGCCAGATTTGGTTAAGCCGACCCCTCCTTCCAGCCGGCCAAGGCACTCGCCCGAGCCTGCAATAGTCGGTTTAGCCGACTCCCCCTATTGGTATCGGCTAAGCCGACTCCGCCTGGAAACCGTCTAGGAAACCTCCTAAAGTCGATTTTTGGTATTTTTAGACGTGAAAAACTTGGAGATTATGATTTGGAGTTGTTTCCTACTGGGATAAGACCACCCCCTCTATATATACGAGAGGATCACGGCCGATTGAGCTCCCATCTATCCAATCGTCAAACAAACACATCTACTACTCCTTTTATCCATTTTCCAACCCTTCCTGCTATTCGGCACGTCTCCTGGAGAGATTTGTCGGCATCCTAGGCGGCCTTGCTGGTCCTAGGAGACTCTCCACGTGCTCCTCCCCAATGGGTCTTCCTAGGAAAAGTTTGGGAGCTTTTCCGACCAAGAACGGGCTCAACATCGGCCTAACCTATCTCTAGATCGGTTTCGTCGATTACGCGGTATTCTTGCTGTGCTGCAGGTTGATCGCAACCTCCTTGGACGTGCTAGCTCTGCTGGTGTATGATTTGAACGCCCTCCAACGTCAACAACTAGCAAAGGGAATAGGCACTTATTGGTGTGGCGAGTCAATACGCTAGTATGTGTTGAACAAATTATTGGTTGCGAATGTATTTATTTCTGAGTAACATATAAAAAACACTCTTTTCCTTCGTCTTAATGACGGTGGAAGGCTCTCTAGCAGTCCTACCAACGATAGATGAACATAAGGTGCATCTGTCCTGAACTCCTGATGGGTTCTCTGCTGAGCAGATGGGTTGTTAGTTGATGGTTCCGGTTTGTACAAACCGGAGTGTCCGGTTTGCGCAGATTAGCCGGGAGGGGCACATTTGTGTGGATTGCACGTTGTGTGCTCAGTGTCTGGCGTGATCGTGATCCAACGTCCACAGACTGCAGGCAGAGGGCACCATGAAAGTGACGAAACTCTGCAGGAGTAGTTGGACAGCTCCTGTATATAGCACTGTGTTTGATGAAGTTGGCTGTACTAGTAGTATTAAAAGGCAGCAGTAGCACATAATAATAGAGTAATAAGGAAGCCTTACGACGAAGCAGCTGGTTGGATAACACTCTGTGCGTGTCAGCTTTAATTTTGTGCAATAATAATAATGCAATGTAAGCACGAGAAATGGACAGGAGCAGAATAAACAACCAGCATATATCGTTTTTGTCAATCATGGATCCACCCGAGTCCATCCATCTGCTGGATGACTGGATCATATCGTTTTCCGTGCACGCTCCGATTGCTCACCAACCCTAGCCCTCCGAGAGGATGTGCACGCTCGGCCATAGATCGAACACGTCCTCCGACTCGGCCATCTCACCATCTGCTCTCAACCATTATCACCGACACCGATCGCTACAGAAAGCAACGCTGAAAGAGAAGGCAACGGAGTCATTTCTGGCTCAATTACGTTGATCGACCTCGACCCCATCGACCGGGTTGCCATCTTGCTCTGCGGAGAATGAATGAATGACAATGAATGAATCGTCATGACTCGCAAACGACGACAACTGAAAATGAAGCTCACATATCATATCAACTACGTACTGTGTGCGTACGTACGTATAGTTGAAGGTATTACTTTACTATATCCCTAATGCCGCCCCGATACACAACCACATGGACTTTTTTTTTAGTTGCATATGCTTTTGATTCTTAATAGTACATTGTCATCTCATGTTGTTGCGTACAAGTCATCCTTTGGCGAATGAATATATAGGGAAAAAAAGAAATAATATATGCCACCGAGATACTACGCAAGTAGAGTTTGCGCAGAGCACATATATTAATAATAATAACATCTACATACGTACTCTCTCCATACATACAAACGGGGAAAAATGTAACGGGTAGATCTCAAAATTCGCACGATCAACGAAATCGGGAGAGAAGAATAAAATGGAGAAAGACATGTACGTAGCTAACTAACCACAACGGCCACGAACCATGGAAAAAATTGTTTGAAACGCACGCAGGTCAACTTCTGCTGGGCTGGGCCAGCTAATAAGGAAAACAGGACCAGCAACGGAGAATCGGCTCGTGATCGACGCAAGAGGGACGAGCGAAAGCGACTACAAACAGGCATGGAGGTTTTTATTTATGATGTTTCTCTCACTTGAAGCTCTGCCCGTGGAATGAATAAAAAAAACAAGTCTCTGCTTTGCTTATTATTTAAACATAATATATCTGTATTGTTGTTCTTTTACACTATTAGGGCTGTGTGTTATGTCACGTTCTCTTCCCTGGTGACAAGGTTTTCAGTTGCCCCCAGAGCACCAGCGCCTACCAGAAGATAAGCCGCACCGCCGCCGCAGCACTTCGCCTCTCTATCCATATCCTCCTCTCTATCCATATCCTACGTGTGGGTGTGATCACTAACCAGGAATAGTCACTACTACAGATATCATTTACTACATATATCATTTACAGGGACGGCTCATGGACATTTATAAGGACGGTTTGGCCGGCCGCTCCTACCAAAGCGTGGCTACAAATCGTCGATTTGTAGGGGCAGTTCCCAGACCGCCCATACAAATCGATTTGTAGGGGCGGCTGGTAACACCAGGCGCCTCTACAAAATCGATTTGTAGAGGCGGCTGTAGTAACAACCGCCCCTATAATACCAGTTTGTAGGGGCGGTTCAGTTTAGAACCGCTCCTACAGTACATTTTACTATAACACAATATAGTTTTGCCGACACTTTTTATTGTAGGCAAATGGCACCTTTGCCGACAGATAACCTCCCGTGAAAAGTTTTGCCGACAGTTTAGAAACAGTCGCGCTAGAAGCCATCGGCGAAACTTTTGCCGACAGTTAATAGAATCCCCGACACTTTATGTGTAGGCAAACGGTCTACCTACGTCGACAGTTGAAACCTTTGCCGACAGTTAACCCTTTGCCAACAGTTAAGACCTACGCCGACAGTTAAGACCTTTGCCGATAGTTTATATGTTGGCCAAACCATTTCCAAGATATTTTACAAACCATACCCTGCCCAAAAAAAACTGTCGGCAAAACTGTATAGATATAATTACAATTAAAATAATTTGACAAATCCACTTTTGCTCATATAGAAAGCATCACATTGAACAAATTCACTTGATTTTTATATAAATAATATATTAGATCTTACATACATACATCAACTTGATAGGTCTATATATATATATATATATATATATATATATATATATATATATATATATATAGCAGGTAAGTGATGATCATAGTACATAGAGCCAAGCCATATAGGTCCAAGATATAGATTAGTCAGTTACAGACATGTATAGACATAATACAAGTCTTGTATTAATTGGTTATGACTAAAGCTAAGAGATCAATAGATCAGGACTTGGGCACAAAAGCGGCATGTCTGACAGTGCATCGTAGCCCATTTCAGGGACAGACTCCAGTCGTGCTTCGATTGTTGTGACAGGAGGGCCAACTGTACCAATCATTGAGAAAACATTGGCGATTGATGTGAAGCATCCTGCACAACTCTCAGTGAGCCCTGCATATCAATATGATAAGTCAGACCACATGGTTTGCAGGACCAGAATGTAAGTAGACTACTAGAGTTCTGTTAAGTAGTTTAAGAAACCCAACTAATTTCAGCAGATGAACTATTGGTGTGCACTTTTATCCATAAAACTGAAGTGAGACATGGTAAGATGTGTCTGAAGCTCTTACCATATCCTTGTACTACAATGCTGCAGCTGGTTACCCGCATGAACTCTTCGATTTGCCCTGGCAAAGGTGCTGGTCCTGCTGTCATGAGGCGTATACGCCCTCCAAGCCCTTCCTTTATCTATATTTTCATGTTTATACCTTCAATTAATGAGATCCACACATTATGATCGTACAAATATCTTCCTTACATTTATTAGGAAGTTTGTAGTCTTGTTTTCCCTATTCAGAACATTCCAACATTGTCATGGACTCATGGTATTCATAATGAACTAGTAGTCATTTAGGCACCCAAGAGCTGTAACAAGAAATCAGACTAACCATTGAAGAAAATTCTTCCCAAGAAAAGCAAGACACACCAAATTTCTCAGCTTCAGTTTTCATCTCACTTGTAAAATCTCCGAAACTAACAATGGCTGAAGATGCACCAAGTCATAAATGATCATATAAAGTAGCAGATAGTCATCTTAATAAGAAATTTTGTGTTTCGGAAGCTAACCTCTAAGATGGGCTGTGCACTTAGGGACTACTGCTAGTATCTAAAAAATACAATTCAACGAGTTGTCAGATGTAAACATAATGTTATGTGTAGCATTGATCTCTAAAACTAATTTCAAATAAACAGCATTGATTTTAGCAGGTTCAGGCCCAGTTCTGTTGTAACTTGGATCCCAAGCACATGTAGCTTTTACTGGAAACATATTAATCAGTATGATGCAGAGACCACAGTGCAGAGCGTAATAATATTATTCAAAGGGGGCAAATGTTTTTGCTTACAGATTTGATCTTGCTCTCCTGGACCAATGCAATGGATATCTCAGCATGGTCCATGATGAATTCAACAGCATTTGCTCCTGCATCGTGTTACAACTTAATCGTCAATAAGATGAAATCTCAACATAGACAGCGACATCAAACAAGACATTCTTTGCTCACCGGCTCTACGCCCAAGCTTCTGATGGCTGATCCAATCCTCATGACCTTCTGGTACACTTCCTCATACGTTTGCCACACATACTCACCGGCCTATATATAAGAAAGACAATTCAGTTGAATATCCGAAAGCCATGGTGATATCTTTGTGAAAATAAATCTGTAAAGATTTGGTTTTATTTTACCTTTCCATCTGTAACTTGCCGTCAGCCGAGCATCCTGTTCGTGGGGTACTTCTTGACTGCTCCACTACGAAATCACAAAACCAAAAACAAACTGAAATTTCGAACTGACATTATCTGAAAAGTCCAGGACCTTGTAATAATGCTATAATGTACCACCCAAAGATTGGCATCAAGATAAACATACTAGTAGAATATGTACTCCGTAGTAGTGAAAGCTGAGAAAGGAAAACACATTGTGAAAACAGAGGGCACTATGCTAGCAGGTGGTAGCCTGCCAGGAAACCGAACCGAACCTGAAGAAGTCCCAGGGGGGCTGGATGTCCCGCGGGAGCTCCATGAGTAATTTCTTAGTGTACTTAGACATTCCACTTGAAATGAAAACTAAGATGAAAATTGATTTGATTGTGAAAAACATAGCGACATAATTAGTGCATCTTTTGGACAATAAACTCACCCGAAAATTTCTAGGGAAACCATTTCTTCCTTAGGAGTTTCAAGAATCTGGGAAAGGAAAAGATAGCCTTGCTTAGCTTGTAGCAGCGGTAGTGTGGTACAAGAAAAGGAAAAACATAAGGCAGGAAAATGAATAAATTATATAGTACACATGCCTCACCTTGAGACCAGAGACTAGAGTCCACTCTACAGACTACAGAGAGAGGCCGACTCGATCAGATGATGCAGCAATTCAATGTGTGTGTGAGAGATGTTACTCCTACTACTACTCCTATAGCGCTACCTAGCAGAAGCACCCTCACACAACACATTCACACTACCCCACCACTGGCAGGGCAGCTAGAGTGATTAGATCCTAGTACTCCTACTACATGCGGACACGCCTATGCCTGTGCCTCTGCATACAGCTGATGATGTTCGCTATTGCCAAATCATTTGACTCTGACCAGCTGATCTGACCAGCATCTCCCAATAGCAGACACAAGCATTGCAATTTGCAGCCACCTAACGACCATGTTTCATTTATTTCATCTCTAATTATGATCGATCCATCAATTGTTAAGTATTGGCAGCCATCAAACAATTTGTAAGAGTTTAATTGATAACATCATATATAATTCACCACACTCTTTCTTAGCACTGTTCATGGCCCTCATATGCTATGTCCTCAGTAGTTTTGATTGAAAATGACTTACATGATCAATATGATCGAGTAATATACTAATATGTCCTAGGGATGCAAGGATATAAGTAGCGGGAAGTATACAGAACAAAAAAACGAAGCAAAATAGAGCACTGGACTGACCGCGTGTAGGAAAAATGACTATGACAGGCAATCAACATATCCAAATTCTCAATTTCTAGCCAAATATATTGCTATACCTGTGACACAAAATTCATATTTTACAATTTTTTTACACCAACCTAGGCAACCTTTGGTCCATCATTTGTCACTGTTAGAGATTTGAATGTGATGAACAATGTTCATCATCGATGGCCTAAGCCACCTGCAGATACCACATTCCTTCTTCGACACTCACTAGAACCGCCCCAATGCCAAGAAAGCAAGACTAATGTCCCATGATCCCACCTAGACTTGCTTGATGACACAAGTCTGACATAGTAAAAAATCAGTTGTACTTACATGGGGAGACATGGAAGGCATGCAATCGAAGTAGGCGAAAACCCATCGTTGTGGCATCAACGTCATTAACAAGGAAGTCCCTCAAAGATGGTTGCCCTAAATCTTGTGTCCAAAGCCTGTCAATATGAAATTATGAACAAAGGAATAATACCTTAAATCAATATCTAATAATTGTTTCTCTCAAAGACCAAGGCGGTGTTGTTTGGTGCATCAACCATCTAACTCTCTATTTTCATGGTATGCACGGTATGAAAATAGTTACTCCTAAAATAGTTACCAACAAACATAGACATACCATGAAAATAGTTACTCCTAAATAGCAAAATATCTTTCCTCCTAAATTACAGAAAACACGCAAGGATAAGAGTAGCACGAACAAGGCCTACTCATTATCTATTACTATGCACAAATTGAAAGGCTCCTGCAAGTATTTGTTGGTAAATGGTGGGCTTCGTCTACACATTATCGGTTGCTTTACTGAAGGATCAGAGTAGCACAAGCAAGGCCTCCTCTGCCTTCCTTTCAAACCCAACCACCTATGAGCCGCTCAACTAGAACATCCAGATGTATTATGCATACTACATTCATCAAAATACTAGTACTAGCTGCTCCCAGATCCAAGGAAACAAGTATGTTGCTCCCATACCTAAAGAATCGAATCAAAGGGAGAACAAGATCTCAACAAAAGTCACCATCAAGATCTCACACGGATAGAGGTCGAGCTCAGAACCTGGAACGGCAGGGACTGCAGCACGGGTGGCGTAATGGGGCTCGTGGGGCTCAGATGTGGATCTCCAATAGACGAGAGTGGGGGCGGTGGCCACTTGGGGGCATCCGGTGGTGGTGGGTGTCAGTTGGCTGATGAGGAGTCCGGGCGTTGGTGGCGGCGGGCGGATCCATCGATTGAGGTGGTGTACGGCCGGCCGCCGACGGGGGCGTTGTCAGTGGCACAGTGTGTTCCCAAACCCTAGCAAGAAAGGGATGGGGATGAGGGGAAGGGGATGATGCAGAGGATGATTACTTCCAGTGTGGTGGTAGGGGCTAGTGGGGCGGCCCGGTGAGATTTGGCGTGGTTAGGGGTTCCGTGGACGGCAATGGGCGGGCCAAGGCTGAGGGGAGGAGGCAAGGCTGCATGGTAGTGGCTGCGGCGGCGAGGCTCGGCGTGGGAGGCGACGGCAGCGAGGCTCGGTGTGGGAGGCGACGAGGCTTGGCGTCCGTGGGAGGCGGCGGCGGCAGGCGCACTCGCGGGTCGCGCTTGTATGGGCCGTGAGCCTTTTTCCTTTTTGTGATGTAGGCGAGAGGGGGAGAGGGGGAGTATATTTTGAGGGTTTTTTTTCGTTTCACCGTACACACTTTCGCCGACACTTGACTTGTTGGCTCGGTTAGGCTACGCCGACACTTATTGTGTGTACAAATGTTTGCCGACAGTTTTAGTGTCCCCAGAGCAATGCCGACAGTTGATTTGTAGCCATACAACATCATTGCCGACAAATTATATGACATTAAAAGGTTGTACAATTACCAATAGATAGTGTGTAGTTGAAACCACCCCTTTGCCAACACATAACTGTAGGCAATTGTGTGTCATGGTGTAGTGTTTTTTCGCTAAAAAAAGTCAAATTCGACTGGAACATATATGTATGTATGTATGTATGTATGTATGTATGTATGTATGTATGTATGTATGTATGTATGTATGTATGTATGTATGTATGTATGTATGTATGTATGTATGTATGTATGTATGTATGTATGTATGTATGTATGTATGTATGTATGTATGTATGTATGTATGTATGTATGTATGTATGTATGTATGTATGTATGTATATATAATTCAAATCTGACCAGAACATATATAGTTCAAATCTGACCATAAGCACAAGAGTATTATATAAACTACAATTATAAGTCCAATTCACAAGAATATATACAATCTATCATTAAATAGACATAATTCATAAGTCTAATTCGTTCCACTTCTCCCTCCCCTCTCTCTGGCACACGGTGCACTGGGTGAACGGGGCTATGGCGCTCGCGTAGGTGTCCCACAAGGTAAGACCAATGTCAAATTTCATATACATTGTTATCAACGACCTAGAGCTAGCCTTTTAGTCTCACAAAGATGTTGGTACTGAGGATTTCTACCTAAGTCAGAATCTCGGTCATGATAGGTGCCTTTGACGTGTACAATCTGGTCCAATATGAAGTTTCAAAGGTCGCCGACGAGCTCTAAGAGTTGGTCATCCTTGTATGGGTCTCTTTTCATTTCTTTCTCTTCTTTCCACTACAAGAGAACAAGTTTCGGTTTAGTATTTCATACCATGTGCGAAGTTTTTATACTACGGGTGAAGAGGTTCAAACTTATCCTTAAGGGGTGTCTCCTGTAGACACCAGTGTTACTCATCATAGAACATATATAGTATCCACAATGTACACTCCCAGGCTTCTTCTTGGGGCACTATGTGTTTTGCATATGAAAATGTTAAGTAATACTTTTGACAGCCATGTAATGGAGTACTGAAGTAAGTTACACTTACCGCACATAGTGTTTTTATAGCCAGCGTTTTCTTCCTTACTGGATCATGCCTTCCGTGATGTTTATTGACATAGAACCTAAATGCTCTGTTCGAATTATTTTAGCAAATACAACTTGTTGGTATCTAAAAGTGAACGTTACAAGTATGTATACAAACATATAAGCTAATGAGGATTGTCGATATGTATACGTCTTGAGAATCGATATGAAGTCTTTGTATGTCACCGGGTCCCTATCTATTGAATAAAAGACCCATGCCATGCTCCTCCCGACATCAACGCCTATATAAATCCAGTGGTTGCTGCATAGATTTAATCATAGAACTAGATAAGCTCTTGTGCATCGAATAAAATATATCAAACAAAGCTTTAAGTATAGAGTTGAACTTACTCGAAGTTGTATGGTAGCCATATAGTAGAATGCTGTTGGAGATTTTTAAAAGCCAGGGCAATGTATACCGAAACCTTAAGGGACTCTTGCCTTAGTTTCTTCGCACGGATGTCCTCTTTCTCTCGAAGGGTCTTTCCAGCAGCTACCTCTTTGTCATCCAGTTTCCACTGTCTAGGGTAATTAAAATTTGTTTGTGCTATAGCTTGAGGGTCTATATACCTGGCTTTCACACTTGGCATTTGTTTTACAATATGCACTTGCATTCTACAAAATCACGGCGTGGGTTAGTTACAACAAAATCCAAAGATTACATTCATATCATATCGGGAGGATAAGGACTTACAGGCACCACATGCGAATTAGATTCATTTCCACTGCTCCGAGGTGAAAGCATGTATGCATGTCATTGAAGTCAAAGATAATTTTCCCGGCTGGGCTTCCAAATGTGCCGATGGGGAAGCATGCTTGTACGAGGTCTATACTCATTAGGAGAACACGCAAGTACCAATCATGGAACCTTCTCATTTCAAGTGGTAGGCGCTGGATGTCCTAGTTTGGTAGGAAGGGCTTGCCTCTTTCATATGTTTTTGGGCAATCCTTTGACCATTTGATGGCATCAGTATTTGGATACTGCTTTGCTGTTTGGTGGAGTTTGCTAGTGACGGACTCCTTAGAAGCCCGTGATGGGACTTTTTTAACTTGATTCTCAGACTTGAACTGGTCATGGGAATACCACTTGTGCACCGATGAGACGTCTTTCATTGGAACATAAATTAGTCTTATGGTGATTGGATACTTCTTTTAAAGTTCCCATTCAGGCACGTCCTCATCTTCTTGTGCATCACCTTCTTCAGGAGGCACTCGTTGTTCATGTATCGGTTGTGCTTATTGAGAAGACTGTGGCATCTTATCATGCACTTGCTCGATACGAGCTGGAGAAGGTTGTGGCTTATCAGGCACATGCTCGCTAGGAGGTAGGGAAGAATGTCGCATCTCAGGAATGTGGTGGTCATAAGATGGTGAAAATATCTCCTCGTCCTCAACAACTCGCTCCAACTTTAAGAGAGGGGGAGGCGGCGAAGAAGCAGTCAATATAATGTCCCGTTTGTGCCAGAGGATGAACTGCCCCATTACGTCTCTGAGTAACACCAGCCCCTCGGGAGTTGCGTAGTCTATCCTCCACTACATGAACTCAGGCTTCACGGTATGTACCTCGACCCTAGTGTAGTTCGGTGGTATCTTATTATTGTGGTGTAAGCCACCAGGAGGATGTGCCACACCCGTTGCCACCTCCATCACAATGTTCTGCCGGTCACTGAGAAACACCAAGGTGCAACTAGTTGGTTCCTGTATGCGATCGACGGGGGTTGTGGCTGCAGTGGAACCTTGGCTACTAGGAACTTTTGGAGGGCTACCAACTAATGTCAGTTCTCCCGGCGGCA